CATCTCTCAAACTTGAATCAAACCTTTCTTCTACCATGCCACCAGCACAAACTCTTCCGAGTCGTTGGGGGGAGATGCCCCCTGCTACGTCGTTCAGTGCAGGAGGTTCAACCACGAGTTTCTCCATGCCCGGTTTGACGAGTTTTCCATCCTCGGACCCTTGGCGATCTACGCCTCCTATTCCCAGTAACCTGCCGCACATTCAGTCTTCAACTCCAGCCAATCTACCTCGGGGAATGGGTGCTCCAGACGGCCAAAGTACCGTTCCACGACTGGGCTCGGAGACTCCGAACCCAGGCTGGGGATCAATGCCAAACATGGATCGAGGTTCAATTGCAGCACCACCTCCAAATGCTACTGCTGGTATGATGTGGGGAACTGCTCCTCCTCCTACAGGTACAAACCCAGGTTGGATTGCTCCAGGTCAAGGACCACCAACCGGAAACAACCTCCAAGGATGGTCCGCGCATGGCCCGGTGCCACCTCCAGTAAACGCTACTCCGGGATGGGTTGCCCCCAGCCATGGACCAATGCCACCTATGAACATGAATCCCAGTTGGCCCGTCCCGTACCCGAATCAGAACATGTGGGGTAACGAGCACGGTAGAAATGGGGATAGATTCTCGAATCAAAAGGACGGTGGCTCTCACGGCGGAGATCCGGGGAACGGAGGTAAATCATGGGGGATGCAACCATCTTATGGTGGTGGTGGTGGTGGGAGTTCTTGGTCTCCTTATAATAAAGCACAAAAACTGTGCAAATACCATGAAAGTGGACACTGCAAGAAAGGAGGTGCTTGTGATTACAGGCACAACTAGAAGGCATTTAGTTAATATTTGAGTGACAGTCATTAGAGATCTCAACTAGTTTTGTATAGTCCTCTTATTAATGTTATACATGTGATGCTTTTGCTGTTATTTGTTCTTCGAGCTTCATTTTTCGGTTTCGAGCTTCATTTTTTATTACTCTCTCGGGATTTTCAGTTAGGTTAAATTACAAATTTAGTTTTTAAACTTTAAAAAACGTTTATCGGGTTAATGAACATTCCATTTTGTACTAAAAAATCTCAATTAATATCTCTAAGATCTTAATTTTGTAATTAAGTGTCGTTTAAATGTTTATTAGGTTCATGAACTTTCCCGTTAGTCGTTAAATGTGGATTATATCAAAGATTTATTAATCTAAACTTATTAGATTAAATTCTCAACCTAAAAAATAATAACTTTTAAAAAAACCCCTTTTTCGTCTTTGCATTTTTATTAAAAAAAATTATATTTTTTAATTTGTAATTTCGTAGATATAATAGTTTAGTTTCTAAACTTTAGTAGGTAATAATTTAATAATTATACTTTTAAATTTATTATAATATAGTCCTTATCGTAAAGAATCTCAATTTTATTATGTAACGTGATCATTACAGCCAACATCTAATTTTTTAAATATGAAGAGTTTTAGAGTTACTGTCCATGATATTAGAGGCCCGATAAAATACCCGAGAGCGATAAGGTGACGACTCGTGATAGAGAAATTTGAATTTTTAACATTATTAAAAATATAACTCGTAAATAAATAAATATAGATATAATTGGAGATTTAATTATATGGTTGTTTTTGGGTGATGGTCCATAAAGTTTGGGCCCATAGAGGAAAAGGGAAAAGGACAGCTCCTCCTCCTAAGAGCCCAAAACAGAGCGTGAGAGCCCGAAGCTCCATCATGACGTGGCCATGTCCTCACTGGGCCCCACCTTCCCACGTGAAACCCCCACCTCACTACAGCTCATCCCTTCTTTTTCAAGAAAACCTACCCATTTTCATTTATTTATTTATTTTTATTTATTTATTAAAATACAAGAAAAATCTCTCCCTGATTTAAAACCCCAAACTTGATCTATTTTAATTTAGATAAATATTAAAATTTAGTTATTTTGAATAAATATTTAAATTAATGGTAAAAATATCAATACTTTCCCCTATAATATTAAAAAATTATTTACACGGTGTAAATGGGCTAATTTTAATATTTATGGAAAAAATTGTGAACTAAAACTACCAATATTAAAAATATAAAAATATAAGGGCTAAAATAAAACATGACCCAAAATAATATTTTAACTGTATTTTGATTTATATTTGTAATACATCATTAATAATGATCTAAAAATCAATATAAACTAACTCATTATTTGATATTATTATTATTATTATTATTATTATTATTTAAATCAACCCTTAAAATACATTATCTAAATTTATAATCTTTTAAATAAAAAATATTAAATATGTCGATAATTTATTAAACAAAATCGTAAAAATTTTGGATTAAATTTAAAATTTAACCTATGTTTTTGGGATTAGATTAAAATATTGGTTAGTTAAAACAAACCTATCTTAATTGCCCACAACCAAACATTTTACCAATTTTAATTATCCATTTTCAGGTGACCCTTCCTAATCCCACCTTAGAGTGCTTAAAGGGTTTTCCTTTTATAATATATATATATATATAAATAAATAATTAATGTGAATTTTGCTCAATTAATTAAATCATATATTTTTAATTAAGAAATTTAGTGGATCGACTCCTAAATAAAATATATATCATGCCAAATAAATACTATTTTAAAATATTTAATTCATATTTTGATTTTGATAAATTTTACGCTTTATCTTTATTTTAATTTTGAAAAATTCAAATTCTCTATAAAAAAAATCAATATTTTAATTTTTACCATTTTGTGTAATTTTTACTGTAACATTTATTAAATTAACCAATATTTTGGTCGGTGATATATATGTTATTAATTAATTGAGTTAAATTAGGTGTGGAATAAAATTTTGAATTTTTGATCCATTTGTCATGTTTTTAATGAGTTGAGTTATTAGGGTTAGTTTGGATATAAAAGTGGGTTCAGAATAAATTATTTTATAAAATAGTCGAGTTGAAGTATATTGGTATATTAGGGTAAACTCGAACATAGACATGAATTTGAAAAAACGTCCTACGACCTAAAATTAAACCTATACATTTAGCTTTCTACGAAACAAAAAACGGTAAACGATTAATCGTTTATGGAATGCTTTGAAAGGATAGTTTCCAAATTTAAGATAATATTAAAGAAATAAAATAATAATAAATAAATAAATCATAGACTAAAATATTCGGTGGTTGAAGTATTACTTTTTTCCTGGCAACCAAATTGAATCTGTGTTTTCTTTTTTTTTTTTTCTTGGATTTTTAGAAAAAAAAAAATTAAATAATTCCTAATTTTTAAATTATTTAATAATTATTGGGGTCGTGGGTGCACGTCTCGAGGAGATTATTCGGAGGAGATTGACGGGGGCGCGTGGTAGCGCGTGGAGAAGTCTGGCCGCCGGGAATATGTGAAAGACGAAAGTAGCCCCACGTGGGATCTGGAACATGCTTGTACCAATCACGTTACATCTGCCCCTCAAGGTCCTACGTGTAAAGTGCGCGGTGGCGGACCCCACAATCACATGGCACTGGGAAACTCTCCGCCGTGCGCCTCCCGTTTTTTTCTCTCTCGTTGTATTTATTTTCAAGTAGATTTTAAAAAATAAAAGTTTAATTATGAAAATTACTCCTTAATTTTTTAATTATTTAAAAAATACCCAACTTTTAAAATTAAAAATTAATTTTTTTTATAAACCTTTCAAAATAATTATAAATTATACTTAATTTTTAATTTCAAAATTTTTAAAATTATTAAAAATTAGATTATTTATAAACAAAAACCACTTAATATTTTATAAATAAAAAAAGGAAAATCATGAAAATTACTCCTTAATTTTTTTTAATTATTTAAAAATACCCAACTTTTAAAATTAAAAATTAATTTTTTTTATAAACCTTTCAAAATAATTATAAATTATACTTAATTTTAATTTCAAAATTTAAAAATTATTAAAAATTAGATTAATTATAAACAAAAACCACTTAATATTTTATAAATATAAAAAAAAGGAAAATCACTCAATAATTTATTCATTAACAACAAATATGATCACAATACCATATATATAATTATTAATACATGAAAAAAAAAGTGTCATAATTGACTTGTAGACGTAGATAATTATAATCATTTAATTATTTTGTAATTTAACATATTAAATTTCTCATTCTTATCCGTAGCTAAAAATCTAAATTAAAAATAAATAAAAATTATACGGTATCGAGATATTTAAAATTTAAAATTTATGTTTAATATGCATAACAACCCATATTCATTAAATATTTTCGTTAATCTCACGACTTTAAAACGCGTCTATTAGAAAAAAAAAATTCACACTTTTAACGGGAATGTTTCATTTTCCTCCCGAACGAACGTGGAATCTCAAAACCAGTCTTTTAAAACGTTAAAATTGTAATAAAATTAAAATTTTTATCCTAAAAAATTAAAAAAGATTTAAAAATTAGAGATAAATTATAAAATTTTAAAAATTGATAATTTAATTTTAATTTTGAGTTTTGCACTCTTATATCTAAATTTTTAAATTTATATTTAACACGCATAATAGCTCATGTTCATTAAGTATGGTCGTTAACCTCATAATTTTAAAACGTATTTAGAAAAAAAAATTCACCGTTATCAGAAATGTTTCGTTTTCCTCTCAAGTTAACGTGGAATCTCGAAATCAGTCTCCTAAAATATTAAAATTCTAATAAAATTAAAATTATTATCATAAAAAAATTTAATTTTTTAATTTTATATTTAGTAGATTATTAAAAAAATTGAGAGATAAATTATAAAAATTATAATTAATGAAACGCTTTGTCGTTTGGTTTGGGTGTATCGTCGGAGCATTGGCCAATGTTATTCCCGCTAAAAGTCGCCCCCGGGCGTCTGCCACGTCATCGCATTTAAATATTGCACAAAATACTAAAATTCAAAAAAATAATAAAAAATAATATAAAAAAAAGAAAAAAAAAGAAAATTCAAATTGAATTAAAAATTTAAAATATCATCTTCTCAGTTCTCTCTATCTTTGTCACTGCAGCTCTTCTTTGTCTTAAAGAAGACGAAACAATTTCTAACGCCTTCTCTCTCTAAAGTCGTCCATGGGAGTTAGCTTAAAGCGTTGAACCAAATTATAGCATAGAGAAGAAGAAGAAGAAGAAGAAGAAGAAGAAGAAGAAGAAGAACCAGAAAAAGAATTCTCAATGTTCTTCCATTTTGCTTGTGGAACCATGTGAGTTCTCTGACACAATTTTTTTTTGCTTGTTTCCGAGTCTTATTCTTGTTTTTTTGTGGTTTTTTTTTTTTTTTTTTTTTTT